TAGTAAAGCACTGGCAGGGTTGACTGACATGTTTCTGCAAAATTAGTACTTTTATTACTATTTGCAGTCCAATCACCTAATTTTCAGTTTTTCCGTTCAGTGCGAGAAATCTAGTCTGCGTTGGGCTTCAATGAGGGTGGTACAAATCTTTTTGAACTTTCTCACCCTGTTGGTCTTTCTCGATTTGTTTATTTGTGTCTCAATGTTTGTACCAGTCTGGTTTCCTCCGTGGCAGCTGGCAATCCACTTCAGCTACCCGGAGTGTCCCGTGTGTCCTTATAAGGGCAAACTCACTTGTGGGCTTGACACAAGTACGTTTAAAGCACTGATCCGATCTGCTGCCTGGCTGCACTCTAACCTTCTGGCTGCTCTGGAAATTATTACTGTAGCCCTCATTTAATGCACAAACACACAGTAACCCCTAACCCTTCACTCATACCCATGCACGTGACCTCCACACACGCCTGCAGAAAGTATACATACCCCTTTGTGTCAGGGAGTTTTTCTCGACACGTCATAGTTCACAAAGTAGAAAGTGTTGAGCACAAAACGGCATTTGAGACACATGCACACCCACTGGGAGTCAAAAGGTCGGGTCTCGGCCTGAGGGGTCGTTGTGCTCCCAGACAGGGCTGGTTGTGTGTGTGTGGGAGGGTGAAGGTAGACATTGTCCACACACCAGGCTGTGATGTTTGACCTGACTCTGGAAACACAACACAACTGGAGAAACGCGCATAGCATGTTGGGCTGGCTATTTGAAATTTGCGATTCTCGTGTCGCAAGTGAATTTTTGTATTTATACCATAATGATACCTTTTTCGTCACCTTTCTTTCAGGTATATTTGAATGTTTTTCCTACGAAATGCAGAAGAAATACAGTCAAATTATAGTAATAAAGGTAAAATTATGATTTGAATCCAAAAATATATGTAAATAAACAGGAAATCTGACCAGGTTCTCAATACCAACTTTGTCACAAAAAGTATACCCATCCCTAAATAGTATTTAAACTAACACGCGCTACCATTCAGCACCGAGACAATCCCAGGGTTTCAGTTGCTATGGATACATGCTCTAATATATAAAAGGGGTGTAATTAAGGCAAATCTCAACTTGTGCAGCGTCTTCTTTCTATTTGCACTGTAATTTAGCCGAGTGGTCTTTTCACTTCCACAGGTTTAATGTAATCCCGTTTCAGTGCTGCACCCACAGGTAGTTGTTACAACGTGTGCATTTAGCTCCGCTATGGACAGCAGAGCCATGAATAGCACCACAGTATACTTTAACTACCTGAGGAACCTCGACTTCTTGCCATATTTTACCACTTCTGAGGCCGTTTCCGTGTGTGGCGCAATAAATTAAACCGACCACACAAACTTGAAAATCCTATTTGAGTCTTTTTCATGTGTAGCAGATGAGTTGAGAGGGTGTTGCTGTCCTCGGGAGTGTGTCGCCAGCTGGTCGGGATTACGGCAAAACCATGAACTCTGTAATTGGATGTGATTGATTGAGCTACATCACTCTGATGTCTCTGGATGGAGGTTTGAGGTTTTGGCTCCATAGAAAGTTGCTGCTTGGCAGGAAGTGACTCAAAGCGACCCAACGGTACGGCACAAGCCTTAGCAGGCCTGCTTGTGAAACATTAAAACATTTCTTATATCTTACCAAATAAGGTAATCATTTGTCTGGTTTATATCGGTGAGTAAAAAAAAGAGTTGGGAAGACACATCTGTAAAGCATTGCCTTGAAGAGGTTGCCCTAGTTTCTCCAGGGTTGTCTTCTCTCTGCTCACCCCGTCAGTCACAACCACCTCCTCCCTCCTGTTTGTCCTCCCACATTGTATATCGGGTGACTCCGCCAAAACCTACAGGTGTGGCTGTCACCGAGGACACAGTGATGGGTCCTCGGTTTGTACAGCAGACCAGACTGTAACGTTAGGTGCAGAGAGCTCAGTGACGGCATCGTTTTATCAGTCAAACATATTTGTGAGTGTGACCTATTTGTTACGTGTTATTTGTGACTCGTACGTCTGTCAGCAGCAGGGGCCTGAAGAAAAGCTTTCTGTCTCAGAGTAACGGCTGCTCCCTGGGTCACAGCGTGGTTGTTTTGAGCCGCAGTTGGTCTGTGGTTTGGTTTGAAAAATGCCTTTGGGGGAACGGTCAGTGGTGTAAGGTGCTGTCACTGTGTAACTGCAACTGTTGTTGTTGTTGCCGCCTCTCCACTCCACTGACTGGAGGTTTTGTCAAACGGACTCTGTTTCCACGCAAGTGTGTGTGTGTGTTTCTGTCTTCTTTGGCAGGCTCCCAGGTTTAAGGTGTGTTTTATTTGCTCGGGTTACGCCCAGTCATCACCTTCCTGTGCGAGGAAGTTATTGGTCGACCTTTCAAATACATGAAGGAAAAGTCAGTTACAGCTGCTGGATCTGTGCCAGTTGAACTGAGTGTACAAATGTTGCAACCAATCCAAACTGACTCGACACGCAGCCTGTCTGTGCTCCGATTGGTCCATTTAAAACGCCTCGTGTTAGAGCTGGTAAAAGTCAAAGTGCTGACATGCACATGTAGGGTTTGTTTTTCGTCTACCCGTTTCATCACATCATGATTATAATTCCCCGCTCTGTGCTTGTATTTCAATTCAAGATTACAGTAACTGATGTGGGCAGTTCTGCAGTCTATCACATGCTCTCTTTCTTATGTGTGTTTTGCTTGATGTTTAAACTGACATGCACGGAACAAAGTCCAAAAATACAGCCTGTCTTGAAATGCTACGCAGAAGTTATTGTTTTTAGAGTAGAGGCCAAGGCATGAGCCTGTTCTGGTTAAAGCTCAATAATGAATAAATAAATCAGTCAGTCCGAAAACTTGGCTGCGCACTGGCTGTATAATCGCATCATGAAAATCATTCAACACTAAGCTTGACAGTGTGGTAACAGCCTGCTCCGTCGAGTGTTTGTTTAGAGTGTGTGTGTGTGTGTGTGTGTGTGTGTGTGTGTGTGTGTGTGT